AAAAAAAGAAGAGTGGGAATAAAAGAAAAAATTTTTTTTTTAAGGGAGTGATGAAAAAAAATTTTTTTTCAAAGGAGAGTGACGAAAAAAAAATTTTTTAAAGTGAGGTACGAAAAAAAAATTATTTTTAAAAGTGGTGACGAAGAAAGAAGAAAAATTTAGAAAAAATAACAAAAATAAGACAAGAGAAAGAGAAAGGAAAGGAAAGACAGAAAGGAAGATCGGAAGATCAAACTCATCAAAGTAAGGGTTTATATAAAAAAACAAAAAACGTATCATAACAAAACAATAAACAATCATGTGATCTCGTGTTATGATACGGAATTTTTGTAAAATTATCTTCTAAAAATATTAAGTTTAAAAATTCCGTATACATTCCGCATGATTAATTTTTTCCGTATACATTTTTTATACATTAGTTTTTTAAAAAAATGTTCAAAAATGAATTACTTATTAAATATACGGAATTTGTATACGGAATCTATAGAAACGTACATAAAATGTATACAAAACGTATCCTTTCCGTATACATATTTTTTATAGGGACTCAATTTTAGAAGAGAGGAGGATAGTTTAAAATTGTAAACATATGTATTTAAATTACCTTTGAAATTTTCAAAAATAGAAGGGAGAGGACGTTAAACTAAAAATTATTATGAAATTTTTAGGTAGGTCAGTTTATATGGAATTCTATAATCTACACGGATTCACATCGGCCGAAACTACGCCAATATTTGATGTGGGTTTCCATGTGAATTTTAAGTGAAAAAAATTTCCTGATGGAGTTACATTTTTTTTCTTTTAAAAGCTTATAAAGCTTATCTAATTAATAAATTAATTAAAGGGTAAATTTAAATCCTAGCCCCGCATGTGTGATGCTTAGGATATTTTATGCCGATCATTTAATTCTGGAAAGAATTAAATACATCATGTGATTTAACAAAAAAAAAACTGAAAAAAATTTTGTCAAATAAGTCAAAAATGACATTCAAAAATATCTTCAGAGCAGGCAAAAATACACATACTGTAAAATTTTAAAGAAAGTTTGTATATTATTTTACAAACTTTTGTTACAGAATGCGAGATTTAAGCATCATACCCCATAAAAAATTTTATCTGTTATTTCTATAAAAACTCCGTAAAATGAGCCTTTCACAAATCCATTCATGGAAAATGATAAATCGATAAATTCTGTGATATAAGGTTATTAATTCCGGAAATATGAGCCTTTTACGGAAAAAAAATGGAATATAGAAAATGGATCGACTTTTTTTTCAGGGATACAGGGAGGAATAAATTGAATCTAACCAAAAAAAAAAGCATTTAATGCGTGGGTACTGTGACATTATTATTTGCAAGGATCATGTGATATATGAAATTCAAATATAAATTTAAGCCCACACTTAAGCCTAGGCTTCCCTTATCCTGCTTTACGTAAAATAAATAAATAAAAGCCTAGGCTTCCCACGAAAAAAAAGCTAAATTATATCAAAGAAAAAAAATCAAACAACGTTTCCATGATGACCTGGATTTATCAAACAATACTTATAATTGTAATACTTCAAAATGTGATTACCAATATTCTTTCAATTCCAGTGGAACCAAAAACATCCATTCATCGTCTTGAAACAAGATATTACTTTGACTATTCGATCGGAGGGAATCAAGCAGAAAAAGATTATTGTATAAGTATACTTCATCTGACTCGTGCGCTTGATTGCGATAAAGCAAGAGATCTTGCAGAAGAAGCATTAGCAAAGGCTAAAAATAATTTTCCTGAATCCACTTTGCATAACGGTTCTGGAGATGCGTATCGTCACTGTTACTGGAGTGGACTATTGACATTCGAGTTCGGTGTGTCTGGTGCAAAGGGTTTTGGTGATCGGCATGAAGATTATCCAAAAAATCCTTCAGGAGAAAAGGCAATGGACTTGAATAACAACAATGTAGGCCGCACGGTTGCAAGTCAAATTAAAAAGGGAGATAAAAATGCATTAAGTGCAGCTTGTAAGCAGGCACTCACTGATGGACGCTTAAAGACTTTGAATTAGACTTTATTATTACTGTAATCCAAATTTTTTTTATTAATTGTTAATTGTCCGAAGGACTACTATATGTTAGACTCGATATCATGCAACGTCCGTCTGCCACGCCATGTGTATAACCAATGAAATTTAGGACCAGGTGTAATAAATAAACACGTAAATAATTTATTTAAATAGTTTAAATAGATTAATATATAATAAAATAGAAATTTAAAGAAATCGGGTTTACATTATTTTAAGAAACTAATACTTTATGATTTTTATGTAAAAAAATTTTGTTATAAATAAAAATTTGAAAATAAATATCTCTTTGGCTTTTAAAGTGTAAATAAACTGTTGCTTATAAAGTGTCAGTCTATAAACCGTTGCTTTTTTTAGTGATGAGTTCCTGTACTTAGTATATAAAAATTATTATCTACTATCAAAACTAATAAAATAACATCAATAAAATTATTAATATCGGTATACATCAAACAATATTTAATACAATAAAACTTTATATTGGTTATAAATATTTCTTCCGTGTATTTACTTTTATCATTTTGCATCATAAACTTCTATGTATATATTTTACTAAAAGCCATAAAAAAAAAAACGAAATCCTAAAAGTATCTCTAAAATTACAAATGATAATTAGAACACTGAAAAATACTAACATATTACATCGCAATCGAGTGTCTCTGATTGACATTTTTTGTATTACATCATTAATATTGTGTTTCCAAATGTCCAATTTGAAAAATTTTGCTTTTAAATAATTTCGGATACAATATACACAATATAATATAGCCAAACATTTTTTGATTACAATTTTCGCAAATTCTTCTCGTTCCTTCATTATAAAGAATTTTTTGTTGGTCATAATAATTACTACATATTCTTATTGTTTCAGTTTTTTCATCATTTGTAAGTGAATTATCAACAAGATTTGTTTGTTCTATAAATTCTTGTCGTTTGTGAATGTTATTATAAATATTATAATCAATTGGCGCAATTGCTCTATTTATTGCTTACGAAACTAAATTTCTTCGAATATTAATAGACATAATTTATTAAAGCTTATAACTTATTTAAAAAAAATATTTAGAGCGTTTAATACATAGTGCGTAAAGAAAAAAAATTCGGTAACAAGTTAAACAAGAAGTATATATAACTATCAAATCTTAGTATTGGCGTTGCAGAATAATTTTTGGTTTGTGTAAACTTACAATATCCAAAATGTTCCCTAGACAAAATAGAACCGATTATTCCGAATTTCCGATTATTTAAAAAAAATGATTTCTAAATATTTTTTGAATTTGAAGAAAAACAAGTTTATTATTTATTTGTCACCTTTAGAGAGCGAACAAAACTTTTATCTCAAATACAGTATTTCTTACTTTAAAGTATTAATTATAATGTCGTACACTTCGCTCCGTACAATAACAAATTAATTATAATAAAACTTCTTATAACGAATAAAAACATAATTTTCAAACTAATATATGTTAAATTTAAAAAAAAAAAAAATCGAGTTATATTGCTTATAATTAAATCATAATTTTGAAAAAAAAAGATTAATTTAAATCTATTATAATTTAAATCTTATAAAGTTCCCAAAATTTGAAATGTGATCGTCCCGACGTCCCGTGTGTGTGAAACAACGTGATGAGCACATGTCGAAAAACGTGTACGTGTTGGAAGATTGTTGGCTATTCAGTTGGTCATGCCTTATGTAAATCTTTTTTATTTCATATAAATAAAGTATTTCTAACTAACCAATCAATTCGTAAATTTAAATTTATTCTATTCTCATTACAAATAGTTTTAAAATAAAAAATTAATAAGGATGAATAAATGTCAAGAATGTGGCCGAAAAGATAATTTTGATTATTGTAAACCGTGTAACTCTGTACATTTCCGTAATAATTTTATACATTGGGCCAGCGGTGATTCAAATCTTGATAAACTTATTCAAAATTCACAACTCAATACAACAATGTCATGGAGATTAATTGAATGGATTGAATACTCAAATCTTGAAAATATTGAACTTATTGCTCATGGTGGTTTTGGAAGTGTTTATAAAGCTATTTGGAAAGATGGTCCAATTGCGGTAGGTAAACAAGCTTGGAACTTTAATAAATCAGAATGGCGACGAGAAAATAAAAAGGAAGTGGCGGTAAAGAAATTTCAGAATGCGATTAATGTCAGCCCAGATTTTTTGAATGAAGTACGGTAATTAAATGAATTTTTTCACGTATAAAAGATTTTTAAGAATAAAAACAAATATTCACAAAATAATTTTATAAATTTTGCAGGTTAATTCTAATTTAAAAATGAATAGTAAGACAGGTGGCTTTGAAACTATTTGAATTTATGGAGTGACTCGTGATCCGCAAAATGGGGAATACGCCATTGTTACAGAATTCAAAAATGGTGGTAATCTAAGGAAAATGATTAAAAAAAATCACAGTAACCTAACTTGGAAAGTTATTCTCTGGAATATTAGCCTTGGACTAGTAAGTGTTCATGATTCAAATTACTGCCATAAGGATCTCCACAGTCCACAGTGGCAACATTTTGAATAAAATTTACTCTGATAATAGTATCGGATCAGTAATTTCAGATTTTGGTCTGTGTCGTCCTATGGATCAAAGTTCTACAACCAAAACACTATATGGTGTCTTACCATTTGTTGCACCAGAGGTTTTACTTGGTAAAGAATTCACTGAAGCAGCAGATATTTATGGGTTTGGAATGATAATGTCAGAATTGATTAGTGGTGAACCACCTTTTTTTGATAGGAAATATGATGAAAACTTGGCTTTGGCTATTTGTTATGGTCAACGTCCACAATTTCCAGAATATACACCTGAACCATATGCTAAATTAATGAAACGTTGTTGGGATCCTATTCCTACCAATCGTCCAACGGCTAAGGAATTAAATAGCCAGCTTACAGATTTATGGGAAATGTTAGTTATCGACGATTTAAGTTCACTTAGCAAGGATCATGGGCTAGAAATTAAGGAAATTAAAGAATTTAAGGAAGCATTTAATCAGGAAATAGAAGATAAATGGAAAGCTCGATTAGCAGAATTGGCTACAAATTCAATACCACTGAAAAAATCACAAAATTTGCTTACCAGTAAACGACTTAACTATTCACAACATCTTTCTCAAAAATTTAGCATTGAAGATTGGAATAAACTAAAATTGACCGACTAATATTAAGTCACCAGCTCATTTTTGAACAAAGGAATAATTTAAATTTTGTTTAAAAATCCAAACAAAATTTTAAATTTATTTGAATGATATAATTATTCAAACATTTTATGAAAATATGAAAGTAAAATAAACTTTTTGATTAGTTGTTAATTTCTAAAAGTTGGCTGGTTTGCTTTAAATTATTTTATTTGATAAACTTATGGGAGGAATGAGCAATTTAAAGTTAAAATTGAAGTTTAGTACTATTTTTTTAATTTTTAATATAATTGAATATTTGATTCAATAATGAGTTTATTAATTTAATCTTTTAAATTATTAAAAAATACAATTTTAAATCATTATTTGTTCGAAGAACATAAAAAATTTATTGAAATTATTTTTGTCACGTTAAATAAAAATCCTTTTTACGAATAAAGAATAGAAACTTTACTATTTAAAGGGAATAATTATAATAATGAATGTGATATAATTTTTAAAAATTTTATGAATGTAAAAGATTATCAATTTATTTTAATCGATTTCATTAAAAAAATCATATTATTGATATTCTATTTTTGATAAAAAAAAATTATTTACATTTAAGGAGCTACATGTTTATGGAGTAACTGAACGTATAAGCATTTTTATACCGTAAAAAAAAAATTTAACAAGGAAATTTTGGTCACAACTCACAACTTGTCTTTTGTTGGCTATTTTTTTCAGTATTAATCCATCCCATTTAAACACTATGAATCTAACTACACCGTTCGTTACCTCCATGATCAGTGTTGGACCATCTGTCCAATTGAACATTTGGATACCAAATTGGACATCCAATTGGACATATGTCCACAATGTCCAATAAATCATTTGGATATAAGAAATATGTTCAATTGATTTTTAATTAATTTTATTAAAAAAATTACTTTTTTTTTTAATCAATAAGAAAATGACACTTTATTTAAAATATAATGAAGAAACTCTTTGAAAAAAAAATTTTTTCATATTCAAAAATCACTATTATATAAACAATTCGATTAACTGAATACTCAAAAATGTAAATAATTTTCATTGAATATTAGACATTTTCTTTAAGCCAACACAAATATATAATTGATTTATTCCGTCTCATCTGCAAATTAACAAAATATATTAATGTCAAATATGCGGGAGGCTGAAGTTTTTTGAAATCAAATATATCACCTAACTTCCCATTTGGCATTTTTGTTAGTAAGTGGGTGTTGTTTACGCAAAATCTGGTTTAAATTCATAACATGATCAATGAGTGGTTCTAAATTTTCACTATTTTCTTCGTCTGTCTGATCTATTTTTTCATCTTCACCCACCATTTTAATCCATTCTTTTATTAAATTTCTCCACTCACGAGATGATTCAATATCACACTCAGGGTCTTGATCAAAAAAATCATCATTATCATCAGATACTCCATCTTCCTGCTGTTCTTGAATTACTGGAATTACAACGTTCGTGGTTTTGAACTTTTTATTTGCATGTGAAATATTTTCTAATCGTTTTTGCCATTGAAACTCTCCTTTTATTTGACTCATAGCAAAACCTTTTCCGAATGAAATAGATAATTAATTACATTTAAGAAAGTACAAAACAAATAAATAATTCAAAATATTAAAATGCATACGCCCAAACGATTTCTTTTGTTGGTGTGAAAAAGTCCCATAGCAGAAAATAGTCTTTCAACTAAAGAAGTGTTAATGCAAATTGCATATACTTTAGTACAAAAAGCACTTAAATCTGGTGTGTACATAGATACAAAATCCCAAAAGCCAAGTATATACCCTATAAGAAATATGTATACGGAAAGGATACGTTTTGTATACATTTTATGTACGTTTCTATAGATTCCGTATACAAATTCCGTATATTTAATAAGCAATTCATTTTTGAACATTTTTTTAAAAAACTAATGTATAAAAAATGTATACGGAAAAAATTAATCATGCGGAATGTATACGGAATTTTTAAACTTAATATTTTTAGAAGATAATTTTACAAAAATTCCGTATCATAACACGAGATCACATGATTGTTTATTGTTTTGTTATGATACGTTTTTTGTTTTTTTATATAAACCCT